TGGTTTGGACTGGCTCAAGACTGACATCCTAATCCTGTCTTTTCCCCAGCTATTTTTTTTTTTTTTGCAAGCTTCTCCATTTTTTTTTTCCTTCCCTTGTTCCCAGTTGCTCTGCATTGGTGTGATGCTATTTATCTTACGGTACCAAATCTGGGCTGCAAATCTCCAGATTGCCACTAGGGGTCCTTGGGAGAATATTTTAAAAATCTCTATTTGCTGCCATCTTGTGGTCCTTTATTGCTCTGCAGCTCAGGTACAGCAATCTTATTCTGTGGCTTCTCTGCTAGATCACTCACAAACTAGCAGGGGAGGAAACTCAGATTTAGAACTGGGAAAGCCATGTTTTGGAACCTGGTTTGTTCCAAGGACGTGCGCATTGATGATGATCTCAAAGCCACATGTCCATCATCAATACCTCCAGAATCTCTGATTTGAATGCAGTGATGCTAAAGATTACAAAGGGCGGCCTTGTCTTTATAGCGGGTGAGGCTTAGCCCCGGGCGTGTGGTGTGCATCGGGACGTGTGTGGGCAGGAAAAAGTGAGTGTAGACAAAGCAGAAAGTGAGCATGTCCAGAGTAAAACACAAACAACAAGCCAAATCTTAATTTGATTGCATTCAGATTCTCCTACCCACTCGTTCCTACATTATTGATTCCTTAAAGAGCTTAAGCTTAATTTTTATGTATGCAGCAAAAATTGGCAGCAGCTCAGGAGAGAGCTGGGGACCACAGTGTGGGCAGACATGATATGCACCTATGCTGTAATAATTGAGAAGCTCAAGGCAGCGAAACGTGTTTGACTCATTTGTCCATCACCAGCATACTCTAGGGTAGGAGTTTGCAAATCCCAGAATCCTTAGCTACAGCCAGTGGAATTCTGGCAGTTCAAAATCTGCATATCTGGGGCATCTGGGTTGGGAATGGGTGTGTTAGGATTCCATCCCCCTCTTTTGTTGCAAGAGGAGAGGAGATGTTTAGGAGGCAGGCTGCATTATCTGCAGTGATTTCCCGCTAAATTAAACCTATGTTAGCCTTAATCTATTTATTTCTAAAACTCTTGTTCTTATAACCTTTAACTGGGTGAAACGGTGCATCGTAGGACAACAGTTTTTGAACCAAGATACCTCAATTGGGCTAACTTATAGAATGCATCCAAAATTGGGGTCCCCTGCCTCCCAAGGGAATGACATTTGAGGAAGTGGTGGCTGTTTCAGTGCTACTGGCTACTGCTGCGGTGTGACGTGCTCTTCATTTTAAACATTCTGTGACAGTTTCCCAGCCACTCTTGCAATCCCTCGCTTCATCCTCCATCCAGCAGAACTACTTAACTGCCTGCTGGGAAGGGCAAAGGAAGGAAGGGGGATTTTTAATCCTTGCTGCCAGATTCCCACATGGAAACTCAATGGGGAAGCCAGCGGGAAGTCGAAAGTCGGGGGAAAAGCTCCCACTGCTTTTCTGCCCATCCTTGACCACTCTCTTCCTCTGTTTAGGTAAGAAAATATCCCTGAAACAATCAGCCAGCAGGGTACAGGCTGTTTGGAGCTTGTTAAAAGGAGGGCATAATCCCAGATCAACCTGCTCCCATGAAGTCATCGTGATTCATCTGGCTCCTCTGACAGAGACTTGGGCTAGCCCAAAGCCAGGCACTGCTTTCTCACATTTCCTCTCAGCTTCAGCTGGCTGTCAGGACGATGGAGGGAAAAAGCATCTATTCTGCATCACCCTTCTTGACAGATGCTCGGGATAGAGGTGAAACAGACAAATAAATGTGGATTACACCCCAGCTGGGATGACCCTGGGTTACTGCTGCCCTTTAAGATGTCCAAAGTCAGCTTTCCACAAACTCCTAGTGCCATTACAGTTAGAGGCAGTCCTCAACTTACGACCATTCATTTAGTGATCCTTCAAAGTTGCAATGGCCTTGAAAACGTGACTGATGACCGTTTTTCACACTTACGACCAGTGGTGGGACTCAAATAGGGGAACAACCGGTTCTCTGTGTGGATGCCACTTCTGGAAGTCCATTCTGGGCCTGGGCAACAAAAAATTAGCTACCGGTTCTGCCGAAGTGGTGTGAACCGGCTGAATCCCACCACTGCTTACGACCATCACAGCATCCCCATGGTCATGTGATCAAAATTTGGATTCTTGGTGATTGGCTCATATTACAGCGTCCCAAGATCATGTGACCTTCTGACCAGCAAAGTCAACGGGGGAAGCTAGATTCGCTTAACGGCCGTTTTGCTAACTTAATAACTGCAGCGATTCCCTTCACAACTGTGGCAAACTCAACAACTGTCTCGCTTAGTGACAGAAATTTTGGGCTTAATTCTGGTCGTAAGTGGAGGACTGTCTATAGTAACAACTCAGAAGCCTGGCATTTTTTAAAAAAAAAATACTAGCCAGAAACCAACGCGGGTAGCAGTATATGAAAACTGGGACAGGCAGTGTCTAGGATCACGTGTGTGCATTTGATCATTTAGTGCGCTCTTGGAACCTGGGTTGCATTGTGGCTGTGTGCGTGAGCGTGCCAAAGAGAGAGAGGGAAAGGAAGTTAATAAACTGGTAATCAGTGGTGGGAGGGGCCAGGGGGTGGAGTAGGTACATCACTGGCCAATTTATTATCATGCCTGGAAATGAAACCTGGTGATTAATAAGTCTTTGATTTATCGGCGTGTTGAGCCAGGAGCATTATTCACAACGTCGCATTGACAAGGCCTCGGTTCTCTCCCTCCCCCCCCCCATTGCTGCCGCCATAGAAAGAAGGGGTGGGGGACGTTGGGGAGGGGGAGTAGATGCCAGGACCAGTCTGGATGAAGCCCTAAATACCGGGTTTGTCGAAGCATTAATGGCTTTGATGCGAGCCCCACGGCTGTGAGAGATTCCCTCTGGATGGAGGTAATTGTTATTGATTATGAAAGCAGATAAATCCAGCAGGAGGCCAGAGCCGTTGCTGCTGCCGGCAGGAAAACCTGCGGCAGGTCGGCTTTATTGCCACATGCCGGCTTAATACAGGCAGTCCTCGACTTATGCCCGCTCCGTTTAGTGACCGTTAGAAATTACAGCAGCACTGGAAAAGTGACTTAGGATCGGTTTTTCACTCTTACAACCACTGTGGCGTCCCCGTGGTCACGTGATCAAAATGCAGGCGCTTGGCCGTTGACTCCTATTTATGACGGTCGCAGCGTCCCCTGGGGTCATGTGATTCCCTTTTGTGACCTTCTGACCAGGAAAGTCAGTGGGGGAAGCCAGGTTCACTTCACAACCATGTTGCTAAGTTAACAACTGCAGTGATTCACTTAACAACCGGGGCAGGAACAGTCATAAAATGGGGCAAAACCCACCTAGCAACTGACTCGCTTAGCAATATTTATTTTGAGGCTCAATTATGGTCAGAAGCTGAGGAGTACCGGTACGGGGTATAGCTTGGAACCGGGTGATTTCCCACCATCGTAATCCTTTTCACTTCTTGGTACGTCGGAAGAGAACAGCACTTGTGGAGTTTGCTCATTTCTTAAGTTCTGGTCTCAAACCGCCGACCAACAACAACAGCAAAATGTCAACAACACACCCAAACGAGCTTCGAAAGGCCTGCACTGGGATGGAACCATGTTCAGAATGGCCCACGTTTTGGAGGCAGGACGTGGGCCACTTTGGAAAGAAAATACGTCTCCTGAAAAACAGCAGCACATAAATACTTACACAACAGACAATACACGTTACAGGTAAGAGCTTAATTTACGATCACAACTGCGACCAGAATTTCCGCGGCCGAGCAAGGCTGTTGTTAAGCGAGTTACGCCCGGGTGGGCGATTTTTTTCTTGACCCAGTGGTCGAGCAAATCACCGTGGCTGTTAAGCGAGTCACGTGGTCGTTAAACAAATCCACCTTCCCTCCCCACCCACTGACTTTACTTATCGGAAGGCCACGAGTGGCAATCGTGGGACCCTGAAGATGCTGCAATCAACTTTTGATCGAAGATCGGTCGTAAGTCACTGTTTTCACTGCCATTGTAACTTCGAACGGTCAATAAACAAACGGCTGTCAGTCAAGTACTACCTATAACCACTTACACAGTGCATAGTACTAGCACTTACTCCACCCAGACCTTTTTGTGAATACGGCAGGCATGTTCAAAAGAGCCCACTCGCATCACACACGAAATCAGGAAGCCTCTAAAACTTATGTTTTGGCTTTGCAAAGCACCCAGGCCCCTCTCAACTTCTCCTGCTCCTAGAAAGAGGCGACAGAGGGGAATCTAATAGTTATTTTGACGTTTAAGGACAGCTAAATTACAGTTACTTCCTGGAATTCTCTGCTGAGCGAGGAGCGATGACTCAGTGTCAGCCTTGTACTTATTTATTCTTAGAAAGAGTTTGCCCCGCTCAAACTCCCTTTGCGGCGTAGAGAAATGAGGAGAAACTTGAATTTAAAGAAACAAAAAGATAAGAAAATTCCCAATTTCCCCTTCCTCAACCTTCCCATTTTACAGGCAGTCCTTGACTTACGACCACAGTGGAGCCCAAAGTTTCAATTGCGAAGCGAGATGGTTGTTAAAGGACTTTTGCCCCATTTTACCATCTTGCTTGCCACAGTTGTTAAGGCGATCACCGCAGTTGTTAAGTCACACGGTTGTTACTTCCCCCATTGACTCTGCTGGTCAGAAGGTAGCAAAGGGGGATCCCGTGACCCCGTGCAACCGTCATAAATGTGAGTCGGTTGCCAAGCTTCTGGATTTTGTTCACATGACCCTGGGGATGCTGCAGTGATCAGTGGTCATAAATCACCTTTTTCAGCGCCGCTGTAACTTTGAGCAGTCACTGAATGAACGGTTGTAAATCAAGGACTACCTGTATTGTTCTTTCTCCGCCCTTCCCAAGCGCCGTTTCTCTTTTCCCACTGCCCCATTTTTATGGAAAAGGCAGATTAACTCTCACAGAGCTATACACCAGCCGGAGCGAAAAGCAGCCCGCTAGTTTAGGACGATGGGCTCAGTCACCTTTACAATACCTGTCTCTCGGATGCAGAAAAAGAGCGGCTGACCGCTGGAGGCGAGAGTCCGTCTGCCTTCAATCCGGTTGCTGCTTTAGCGGCTCTGTCTTTCTCCTCCGGATCCCCTGGACCATCCAGAACAGCTCAGCCCCCTTTCGCAAAAGCCTCTCAACGATCTCCGAAGTGCCACCGACCTCCTGGATGTGGACCAATTCCAACTCTGCCTCCGGGGGCGCCTCCCCTTAAGACGCGTGGAGAAGGGGCAGTGGGGTGACCCCTCAACAGCCTCCCCTGCTGTCTGTCTCCCTTTCGCTGGGATCTGCTTTCAGACCACTCGATCTGAGCCGGAAGGCTTCTCTGCTCCCATCTGAGCTAAACGTCGTCGCCCACCATGCTGCGGAGTTGAGCAGCCAGAAAAGCCCCGATCCGAACAGATCCTGGTTCGATCTCCGCCAGGCCCTTCCTTTCTCCTTCCCTGCCCTTCCTTCCCCCAACGACTTCAGCACTTTCATCCGGCAACGGTTTAGCAACAGTTGGGCACTTCCAAACGAGGCCTGGGAAGATCCTGGAGAGGCCCGTCCTTCATCTCTGCTTTGGCAAAGCCCGCAACGGCCTCTGAAGAGACCCCTCCCCAGAGCTGGCTTGTCAAGGCTGTGTGGGCCTGTTGTTCGAGGGGATGAAAAGAAAGTCTTTTAAAAAAAAAAACTCTCACTGAAAGTATCAGCACGATCCACCGAATGATCAAAGGATTCCTTCCGGGAGCTGGCTGTAGGATAAATCCTTTTTCCACCCCGGCAGGGCGCGGCGGCTCCTTCGGAAACCTGCAAAAGCCATTGGGACAAACTGGTTAGAGGCAAAGGGAAGGGCAGAAGGCTGAGGAGGGGGCATGGCACAGTGGGTGGGAGGCGTGGAGGGGGGGATTGAATGCTGGCAGAAGTGCCGAACCTGACAGATCAAAGGTAGCAACTGATTGACGTGCGCTGGGAGGGATGATGGCCTAGAGCAGGGGTAGGCAACCTCGGCTCTTTTATGACTCATGGACTTCAACTCCCAGAATTCCTGAGGTTGCCTACCCCTGGCCTAGAGCATCGTCCCGTTGCAATTTCAGGTCAGTTTGGGCACCCAAAGCGAAACCCAAAATTTTGCCCCCATTTTGCCACCTTTGTTGCCCCAGTTGTTCAGTGAATCTCTCTGTGGTTGTTAAATGAGTAACACGGTCGTTAACTGAATCTGGCTTCCCCATTGACTTTGCTTGTCGGAAAGTTGCAAAAGGGGATCACGGGACCCCAGGGGGACACTGCGACCGTCATAAGTACATGCCGGTTGCCAAGCGCCCGAATTTTGATCACGTGACCCTGGGGAAATTGCGAGGGGCGTAAGTGCGAAAAAGGGGTCGTAAGTCACTTTTTTCAGCACCGTTGTAGTCACCAAACGAAAGATTGTAAGTCGAGGACTCTCTCTCTCTCTATGCAACTGCTCTTCCTCTCCATTCTGGGCACTTTCCTACATAAGACTTAAGGTGGGTTTCTTTGATTGACACTCTCTGGGGCTCAAACAAGGGGGGGGGGTTTCTCCACCAAAAGACACAAGGCAGTCTGCCTCTCTGGAGACCCTCAATCCCACTCCCCTGTTCCAATTTTCAGTTGGTGACTTCTGCCCAGATCATCGGAAACCTCCTGATCTGTCTTTCTTACGTGTGAAAAATACTTTAATGCCGACCCTCAAGCTCTGTATGGACCTTGGTGGGTTTTAGTTGGAATCCTGTGTGTGGGTAGTGTGTGTGTGTGTGTGTGTGTGTGTGTGTGTGTGTGTGAGGGGGAGCAATGTGTGAACCGAGCTTCTGCAAAATGCTGCAGATTCTCCTGTCTGGTGTTGAGTGGCTGGTACCATTTGGGCTATAGGGGGGTCTACAGGTGGTGAGTGAGCTTGTGAATAATAGATGAAAAGAAGCAAAGAGAACGCCAGACCAGCATTTTTAGCAGCAACCTCTTGTCCTTGGTTAATGGCTAAGTTTGCTCCCAGAGCTTCACTTAGAAGCCAGGAGGAGAGGGGAGGGGAAAAAAAGGAGAATTTAACTCCGACATTTCTCTCGTCGTTGCTTTCTGTAGGAGAAGAGCAGGCAGAGCCGGGGAGGGCGGAGTTAAGCACGTCATCTGCTTAGAATCATTACGTCACCACAAACGGCCCAAGTTCAACCCCTCTTGAATTCCTTTGACCCTTATCTGGACTGGAGGACCTCCAAGGTCCCTTCCAACTTTGCTATTCTGTACAAAGCAGTCCTCGACCTACAGCTGTCGTAAATACAAGCCGATTGCCAAGGGCTCAAATTTTGATCACGTGACCGTGGGGATGCTGTGGCGGTCGTAAGTCGAAAGACGGGTGGTAGTTCCCTTTTTTTAGTGCCGTTGTAATTTTGTAAGGGCAGGATCTGAGCAGGATCCTACCTGCCTCTGCATTGTAAACGTCCAGTGCTCACAATCTACAGGGTCATCAAGGAAAAAGGGGGGAGGTTTTCAGGATAAAGGTGGGAGGCTGACCATATTCCCATTTTTTTTTTTAAAGAAAACCTGGGCGCATTTACCAATCTCTGGTATCTAGGAATCTTTGCCGATATCTAATTTTTGCTCGGTTGCCTAGGAAAGACTTTCACAGCACAGAAGCAACTTCTTTTCACAGCCCTAAAGCACAATTCAGACAAAGCATGCGTGTGCATGGCGCACATGTGCACCTATTTGCGTGCGCGCACACACACACACACACCCATGCTCACGCGTCTGTCACCAAAACAACCGGAAGCGGGCGTTAATTAGGAATGGTCTACAACAGTGGCCCCCAACTTTTGGGGCACCAGGGACCGATACCGTGGAGAAAGTTTTTTCCACGGACCGGAGGATGCGTGGTTTTGTGTGCTGACTGCCTCCCACGGATGGGGCTTTGCTTGTTTGTGCGGACCAGTTGCTGGCACGTCATGGACCCGTACCGGTCCACAGCCCGGGGTTGTGTGGGTGTTGGGGACCCCTGGTCTACGAGAACTTCCCCACTGGTTGCAAATGAGCAATTTGCACTCCCGCCTCTTTTTCATCCTTCCTTTTCTTCTCCTGTCTTTCAAATAGGGGCTTTTGAGAAACAGGGCCAGCCAAGGAGGGAAGCCTCCGTGCTTTTCTCCGTGCCTGAAAATGAGAGAAACACACAAGAGGCGCAGATAAGGAGCGGTTGCTGAGATAGTGTTGTGCCTCTTGGGCAACATAGGAAGATTGCAGCGAGTTGAGTGGAGCAGAAAATTAGAGGATCTCAATGGGTTTGTCTCGTTGGAGCTAAGCATGCAGACTGTCTTGGCTTCCAACATGGGGAGGGGGGGAAAGAGACAGCAGCAAAAAAGGCCTAAGGCAGAGGTGAAGAACAATAGCCCCTTTATGACTTGTGGGCTTCACCTCCCAGAATTCCTGAGCCAGCATGGCTGGCTCAGGAATTCTGGGAGTTGAAGTCCACAAGTCCTAAAAAGTCCATTCCCCACCCCTTGGCCTAAGCTATGCATTCATTCGCTATATGGACTTGTGACTGATAAAGTCTATTTTCAGCTCGGTTGCTGTTTCTATGCGAGCTTCGGGGGTCGTCTACATTTTTCTTTCTTTCTTTTTTCTATATTTTTATTGCTCTGACATTTTCTCTGAACAGCCGCCCAGGGTCACGAATTGGAGATGGGCAGCCACATACATCTAATTAAGGGATTAATTTCGGAGTTGCCTCCCGTAGAATCCCAGTTTCCAAATCAGAAGGATGAGTTAATTGCTATTCTGGGCTCGTTAGATGTCACAGGTAGGACCTTGACCTAAACGATGGGTTCGCGCTCTCGGATGGCCAATTTGAAATGATCATCTGGAAAAAAAAAAATCCTTCCTAATTGGAAGAAGGTGCGACGCCTTTGATCACCAACCATCTGCAGGGTTGCAATAAATGAACGCTTAGGACCAGCAGGTAAACCTAAAAAAGAACTCAAAACCTTCTAAGAGAATCTACCTTGATGAACACACTAAAAAAAGGAGAAATGGAGAATTCCTAGTTCTGGTCTCTGGTCCCAAATTCTTCTCCTGTGTGTGAATCTAGCTTCCTCAACTGTGCGCTCTCTCCCTATCTCTCTCTCTCTCTCTCTCTCTCTCTCTCTCTCTCTCTCAAGGATGCTTCTGTTCGGCTTCCTGCATCGAGGTGGGGCTGGACTAGATGACCTCTAGGGGACTCTCCCTGCTGTAGCATTTTGGTAAAAGGCCAAAGGATTTTTGCATTATGCATCCTGGCTAAAATGATGCTCCAGAGATTTGATTCTCCTCTGGAATCCCAGCATGAGCTGACCTCTTCTAAGCCTCTCAGACCAACGCGAAGGCTGCAGATTAATTACCCTCCCGATTTTGTCTTTCCCGCTGCTTGAAACCAGCCAGCCCGACAAAAATAAACTGAACCTTCCATGCAAATATCCACAGATAAATCGACGTCTAAGTGCACGTGGCGCAGAACCGTATTTTCTCCGGAAACAAGCCTGTGCAAACATCTCCCCCCCCATCTCTGAGTAGACACTTCTAAATGTTAGTGTTTATAAGGCAGCAGTGCCTAATTGCATCCGAGAGAGAACACATTCCCCAATATGGGTTTAAGCGCATATTAATATACATGGATTTTTCATGCAATGGAAATAACCCAGCAACACATAAATAATGAACGCGGCAGAGGGAGGAGGCGTTGGCAACTTCGGCAAGGGGGCAATGCCAGCTCGGAAGGCTTAGCAGCCTGTAGGCTGGCAGAGAGGAGCCAATGAGAGGTTGTCTGGATGTCTTGGGACATTCAGGCTGGATCTGGATCATAGCTCCATCAGTGCAGGTGGGATGACTCGTGAGCAGAAGTTGAGATGAGGTGCAGGGGGTCCTTGGCTTATGACCACAAGTCATAAGCCAAGGACTTACGAAGTCCACAAGTCTTAAAGTGGCCACGTTTGAAGACCCCTGGCCTAATCCACCCATCCCCTTTGGCTGCTGACGTCTTTGTGGTTCTTGGCCCAGACCAGGACCTTGGACAGTTCCCAAAGCCAACAGACAAAACTGGCCTCGCTTGGCAACGGGCACCATGGCCTCAATTGTGGCCATCCGCCGAGGACTACATGGGGTGCCCTCTCCCTTGTTAAAGCTCAACGCCTTTTAGTTAGGGGGCAGAAATTACACCCGGCGCCCTGGCGTAAAACGAGATCCGAGAGGCTTAAGTCAAATGAAAGAGGATTTTTATAGCCCGGTGGCTTACGGGCCAGCTTCCAGCAGCTGCAGTTGGCATGAGCAGCAGAGGAGGCGTTGCTGTCAGGATGCAAATGTGGCCTCGGATCTTTAACGGCTGGAATAATTTATTTTAATGCCTCGGTGGGCATTGTTTCGGCCGCCACTCTCCCTTTCCCTCTTAAAAGCCAGCCTGGTGCCATCACCTCCTAATCGTGTGCCTCCAGCCGGGGGGGGGAGGACCCCCATCAAGGCGGGGCACGGCTGGATGGCCACTTTTGGCAGGGGGGAAAAGTCCTAATCAATCTTCTTAATTAAGGAGCAGGTGGGGGTGAGTCTCAGGGGAGGGGAAGGCAGACACAGGCCCGTGGAATGCTGGGAAATGGGTCTTTCGGGCCATTTGAGGCCTCAGATGGGCCGTGTCTTCTCTCTGATGTCAGCCGAGGCCAATGGGGCATCGGAAGTTGCCGAGAAGGTCACTTTGGCTGACTTCAGCCCTAAGTTTGGCCGAATAGAACTGTATGTCGTTAAGCGAATCATCCGGTCGTTAAGCGGACCTGGAATCCCCC